ACCAATTCGGGGTGCGACCAGAGTCACGGAACAAATTAAGTTCGTAAACCGAGGCTCCACTGTATTTGTAACTGTGTAAGACATGAAAATGCATCCCATGATGTCTCGTCACAGGATAATTTTTACTTGTTAGAGATAGGAATATGACGTGAATATGGGTTTTCAGTGGTTGTCCTATTATCGTGCAGCACAGTCATGCTTTAGGAATCCTGCTAAATGCACAAAGCTTTGAACTAACTGCTCCATAAAGTCCTCTTCCAGACCTTCTACAGTTGTACACACTTAGGTACCCCTGGTCCAATCTTATATCAATGACTCCTGAACTGAACAGAAGCTGACACAACCTCTACATGGTATAAAGTTAAACACAACATCTTTCTGAAAATGTGAGTACATACAGTATGCTTATGATGTATGTGTAGTTATTTACAGATTCAACATAAGAAGACAGTGAATATGGCAGGCCAAAAGACTGCACACCTTTTCAGTCACTACTGCCTTTGGCAGGAATAACAACTTCAAAACATTTCCTATAGTCACTTAAGAGTCTTCTAGTTCTTGCTTTGGGATTTTTATTTTACTCTTCCTTGTGGAACTCTTCTAACTCAGAAATATTCCTAAATCTTGGAAATAGCCAACATTTTTTTAGATTCACTTTTTCACTGATTATGGGACATTGATCTGCAAAGCAGAATCCGCAATCACTGCAAAACTGACAATGGAGTAGTTGTCCAAAAGTCCTCTATGCAGCACTGATTATACCACAATAATCTTCATCAGAGAGTTATCAGAAAGAAATATTTTCTCTAATCTCATCATAGGTCATTGTCTAAGTGATGCAAACAAATAAGCCAACAAACTTTAATAAGCCTGAAACCCTTTGGAACAAAGTGCTTTAGATTGATGAAACCAAGATTGACCTTTTCAGCCACTACATGAAAAACATTTGAAGAACAATGTCTGAGGAATTTGAAGAAAAGGACACTTTGCAAGCTTTTAAGCAAGAGGGTTATATGGCACCCCAGGAGCACAGGAATTATTGTGCGGGTGGACGGAAGGATGGATTCTACTAAATATCAACATATTCAAGAAGCTAATGTTTCACAGTCAGCAAAGAAACTGAAACTGAAAAGAGTTTGGAAATGTTTGCAAGACAACGATTCAAAATAGCCTCCCAAATCAATCATGAAACATTTACAAGAAATAAAGAGAAAGGTTTTGGAATAGCCTTCATGGTTCCCAGACTTGTATATCACTGACAATCTGTGGGGAGATGTCAAACATGCAGTGCATGCAAAGAGACCTCAGAATATTCTTGAACTAGGACAGTTCTGCAAGGAAGAGTGAGAAAACATACCAAAAGCAAGAATAAAAAGATTCTTAGCTGCCTATAGCAAATATTTGAAAGCTATTTCTTCTGCCAAAGAAGGGGCTACAAAGTCCTGATTGAAAAGGTGTCCAAGTTTTCTCACCTGTTGTATTCAGTTTTCTTATTTTGAATCTGTAAACAACTGCAAGTAAATAGTAAGTATACAATCAAATCTGTGTTTACCTTTGTACAATGCAGAGGCTGCGTTACCTTCTATTCACTTTGGGAGTCATTGAAACATTCATTTTGACTAAAGATGCTTCAACTTTTGCAAGCAACAATAATTCCATTTGTATTTTTACACCTGTAAGAAACCAAAACAGCCCTCCCCCATTCCCAGGACCCTTGATTTGGTTAGTAACAGGATTTAATATGACATGAAATCAAATAGGGAACTTGAATGGAATGCTTTCCATGAGCAACCAGTTGACTGCATGAATTGCAAAGAACTAGATACAGCCCTCTGCCTTAAGAGTTCAAACTTGTGTTTCTGTGCTCCCTTGCAATGTTTGCTGTTCATGACCCATATTCAGCTCCAATTGGTGTCCTTGCAAGATTTTTATGGATTTTTGGGGTCTGTT